CGCTATTGGGATGGAGGCCATCGCTATTAGGATGGAGGCCATCGCTACTAGTTTTTTTCTCTCTTTTCTTTCTACACAGGCTTCTACGGTTAAGACGTCGTCGAGGTTGTAAGTTGAGACGGTTTGTCATGCATAGGCTATCGGCATTCCGTGGACGTGCCGTGGTCGTGCCATTGGCCCTGGGCTTCTTGGCAATGATTAGGATGCAGAAGAGCCACGTTGCTCCTCCAGTGAAGACAGGGAAGATGGGAATGGAATCTTGATGTGACCATCCTGATTCAGATCCTGACACTACGAATGGTTTGTGTTTTTGCAACCTGGTGCCTTACCTTTCGTGTTAAGCATTTGCTTTGGTGAAATTCCTAAAGTGTGCGGATCTTTTGAATCTCGATGCTTTTGGTGTAACCGTGCAACGGCTACTCAGGTGAAGCTCATCAAGCTGCATGAAGGGTGCCAGGTGCGGGAGTCAGGTTTAGATTTGATCGGCCTGTGGCCTGGAAAGCCGACTTGTGAGAAACTACGGCGACAGCGGCAACAAACAACCTCGTTTGTGACTAGCCCTCGTTACACAAGAAAGGGAACTTGAGGACGCTATTAGGGGCTCCTGGCATCGCTACTAGGAACAAGAAACCACTGGGAACAAGACGTACTTAAATGGGTGTCCAAGTGCAACTTCGAGAGTTCGATCTTGGAGTTACTCCAATTCCTCACTTCCGTCCTCCGTCTTCCTTCGTCTTTTGACACAGGCTCGGCACCTGGCGGTTCAAATGGACGAGATCGGTGAGCTGCTGCCGAAGATGATGGCCTGCCGGAAGTGCTCGGCTCAGCACGAGAGCGGTGGGGGTTGCCTCGGGCAAGACCTGCGGGGACCCAGTAGATCCAAATGTAGAGACAGAGAAAAGACAGAGCGACAAAAAAAGAAAAATAGAACACAAGATGACACAAGATATAAAAAATAGATCCTTCTCTTGTCCTTCTATCCGTCCGGCCGTCCCTCCCTCCGTTTTTTTTGCTTTCTTGCCTTCAATCAAGCGTTTTTTGCTTAATTTTTCTGTTTCTTGCAAGCAAGTCGAGATTGCGGGCCTGCCCTTTAGACATATTCTTTCTTAGTTGTTAAGCGTGCCTTAAGGTTGCCCCAAGGTAGTTACGTTGTCCGGGCCGGAACTCGAACGTGCAAAACCAGTGAGAACGACTCGAGCTAATTGCAAGGTGCATTTCAGTTCGGCATTTTGAGGTTGAGAGCAGTATGCATGGCAATACATGGCAGATGAAAGTGGGATAGTTCAAGATATTCCAAGCACGACATTCACCTAGTTACTAGCAGATAAAAACTGCAGTCTTGCCAACGATGTATGACAGAGCCACTCCTGCTGTCAGACAATCATCGCATGCATTCATGCACAAAAATGTAAAGTTCAACCATTGACCAGTTCTTTGAGTGTTCCGAGTTGGCCACATCCGTCTATTGATTCTCTTATTCGCCACTAGCTTCTTGATACTAGTAAGTAATGCCCTTGTTACTAGTAGTAAGGCCCTTAGTATAGCTACTAGTAGCTTCTTGTTACTAGTAGTAAGGCCAGGAGCGTCCATGCTCCTAGTGGTGATGCCAGGAGCCCCTAGTAGCTTCTTGTTACTAGTAGTAAGGCCCTTAGCTACTAGCATTCTTGCTACCTCACCCGTCCATCTCCCTTCGGACCTCACCGAGGCACGTCCGGGTGAACCTCTCCGAGGACTGTCGCATCAACCCCTCGGAGCTCGAGGGCCCTCCGCCTGCCCAGCGACGCCGGCTGCGGACCGAAAGCATTTGAGCTCCGAAAGCTGTGGCGCGGTGGCGCGGCCCCTCTCCGTTGGAGCTTCTTGAGGGTTGGGTAGGAATTAGTGGTCCACTAGAGGAATTCTCGCGAACAAACGTGAGAGAATCTGCAGTTTCGTCAAGTCTGTAGAGTATTTACTTGCTCAGAACGATCAGCCCACACTTGGCTCGATGTTACTACCGCGTGGTCACCAGTGGATTCCCTAGTGGCAGTCGTTGCCGAATAGCGCGGGCCAGGGACTGAAGGAGTTCCGCATGGTCCAAGGAATGCCAAATGGATGTCGCACAAGCGAGGGCAGAGAACGTTTGGGTCAATGGGTATAAACAATCAAATCTCAAGCATATTCAGATTTGGACGATTTAACTGCATTAAAGAACACCAATTTAAGTAAAGGCGATGAACCTGGTAGTTTGAACAGTTTGAACGCGCATCTTGTGAGACACCAGGAGGGCTTTGCAGCTTTGCATTTGCCGCTCATTTGCCATCCCTCCTGAGGAGGGATGGCCAAGTGGCTCTGATAGCTGACAGCAGGAGCCGTCCATGGCGCTTTGGGCAAGAAGTGTTTGGCATAGGCCAAAAAACATTTTTGGATTAATTTATTTTTAATAGACCTAAAAGCGATGGCCTCCAACCTACTAGCGATGGCCACGTACTTTGAAGCACACTTCCTGGCGTTCACGTACTTTGGCGGAGACGAACGGGAAAGACCGCTCTCTGGTCATCTTGCTCCTTTCAGCCGTGGACGGCCGGCGATAGCTTTCAGTCCGTCTGTCGCAGCCGATGGCGCGGAGGGCGTGAGAAAAGATTCGACTCTCAGGGCACCGCTACTAGTAGCAATTAGCTAGTAGTAGCTAAGGGCATCACTACTAGGAACAAGGGCATCGCTCTTAGGAGCTAGAAGCTACTAGTATCTACTATATAGTAGCAAATAACTACTAGTAGCTTCTTGTTACTAGTCGTAATGCCAGAAGCAGCGATGCCCTTTGTTCCTAGTAGCTTCTTGTTACTAGATGGGTTCTCCGGTGGGTTGAAATGTGGAGTTGAATTTTTGCAGCTAAGTAGGTTGGGTTCAAGGTTGGGTTGGTGGGTGGACGCTCCTTTTTTGTCACTCTAGTAACTAGTACTTGCTGCTTGGGTAATCACTGGTTGTTTCATCACCTGGATTGCCTTCCGCAAAGAGTTATGTGATGCTGGGGGCGATCAGGAGAAGATTCGGCCCTGTAGTTGGGACCCTTGAATGAAAAGAACATTCTTCTCCATTTCCGATGGATTCTACTAGCTTCTTGTTACTACTAGTAAGGCACTTGTTACTACTAGCGATGCACTTGTTACTACTAGCGAAATCAGGAGAAGATTGTGGACGTCTAGGGTGTATCAAAGTCGGATAATTTTTCACTGACGAAGCACGAATATTTGGGCATCGAGGCATCCTGATGGGCGGTTCTTGTTGAACAAATAATTGGAGTCCTCCGACCCAGACACATCACCTTCCCAAGACTAGCAGGCCATCCATTTTTCAGAGAGAGAGAGAGAACTAGATACGTAGTACTAGTATCAAGAAGCTACTAGTAGCAAGGACGCTATTAGGTGGAGGCCATCGCAAGTAGGTTGGAGGCCATCGCTACGAACGTAACAAGAAGCTACGAACGCAACAGAGAGAACTAGATACGTAGTATCAGAGACAGAGAACTACGGTCAGCAGTAGTAACAAGAAGCTACTAGGGGCTCCTGGCATCGCTACTAGGAACAAGAAGCTACTAGGTGCTCCTGGCCTTACTAGTAGTAACAAGAAGCTACTATTGGCTTATTGTTTCTACTAGCTTCTTGTTACTACTAGTAAGGCACTTGTTACTACTAGCGATGCACTTGTTACTACCACAGGTTTTCTCGAATTTTCAGAGATCTGACACCTTCACTTCGAGGCTTCAGAGGAGACCATGGAGGTTGGGAGGGGAGATCTGGAGATACGTCATGAACCCGGTGGTGCCGCAGTGCCCGGTGCCATTTGCTGTTTCTTTTAGCATTCTGTTGGTGTTATGAACTTCATGAAAGTCAAGACTGCTTCACATTGGAAACGAGGTAGTTGACTTTGGGCTTTGTGAATGCCATAGCCCCCGGAGCGCCAGGGGAAGTTGAACTCAGAGCAACAGCGGCGGGAAATGAAGGAAGCAGCCTTGAAGGCCGGGTCTTTTGTGCGAAGGCGTCGACGTGGGTAGCGATGCCCTTGTTCCTAGTAGCTTCTTGTTCCTGGTAGTAATGCCAGGGGCTGCTAGTAGCGCCCTTGCTCCTAGTAGCGATGCCCTTTGCTCCTAGTAGCGCGAAGAAATACCCACAGCCGCCCTGGAGCCCGAACGAGCCATCCGGCCATCCAGAGTCTTTACAGTTCACCGCGAGTCACAAGTCGGCTAGCTCCTTGGTTGCGTTTTGGGTTCTGAATTCGCCTTCTTGGCCAGCCAGGAACAATTGGAGAGTGAGCGCGCAGCTCGCGAACTTCAACGTTGCTTGGACAGGGAAATCGATGAGTTGAGTTTGGCTGGGTGGTGGCTCGGTCCAAGGGGGGCCTCCTTGGAAAGTTTGTATAAAGCACACAATATATATATATACATACAATAATATATACAACGGTTTCTACCGCACAATTTTGCATTCAAAGTTGCTTCTCGCAAAGCTTTGTGAGAGTGGATGCCCGGGAATAACCTGGCCACCTGCCAAGAACACATTGCGTTGTAGAGCTGAGATACACCTGAGTTATGGCAGGATGTAGACAATATGCAACTTTGACAGGATACCACTGCTACATGTAGTCCTTTATATAAACCCAAGACGAACCAAGACCTTCATGAATGCTTCGGGCCTACAATATCTGAGGTAACCAAACTCTCCGCACTGCACTTGACAGAGACAAGGGTGACACCAACAGCTAAAGTTGTTTTCAATACTTTGCCTCCTCGTGGTTATGTGATCGATGGACACGCAAGAGACAATACTTTGCGGACTGTGCCCATCTGGACGTTGAGAGTGGAGTATATACTCGCGACAACTGACAGCTCAGTGACAACCGGTCGGCATGACAGCGAGGAAAGAACGCACCGGTCTAAATCGGTCTGAAGGTCCAACGACATCGGTCCAGAAGACGAAAAGGAAGACGTAACAAGAAAAAGCTCACACATATGATATCTCAAACAGTCCCTTCCCACCCTTCGAACTTCAAGAACAAGAAACGTTGTGAATCATTGTGAAAGAAGAAGCAAAGCACTTTCGGAAATAAAGTCGAACGGCTTTTGTAAACAAAACGTGGAGGCCATCGCTGGCAGGTTGGAGGCCATCCCTAGTAGCTCAAATGAAGGTTGTTTTCTGTTTTGGAACACATCGTCAGAGGCCGTGAGCTCTCGGCGGTGCTCAACCGCGAGCGGCAGGCTTTTGAGCGGCTTACGGCCGGGAGTCCCATAGCTGGAGCGAGTTGCCCTTGGCTCCTAGTAGCTTCTTGTTCCTAGTAGCGATGCCAGGAGCCCCTAGTAGCGTCCTTGCTCCTAGTAGTAAGAACATAGTTCTCAATAATTCTGTTCCAGACCATTTGAAGAACTATAGAGGTATTATTAAAAGTTCACTATTCCTTTAAAGGATATATTGTTGCTCTTTTCGGACCATTTAAAAAAGGTGTCTTTTCTTTATGAGGGAATCTTCATGTTTCGTTCCAGAAATTAAGTAACTTTCGGAAGTTTGCATACTGAACAGATGGAAGGACCTCTCGACCTTTCAAGAGATTGTAGTTTTATCTCGCTGGGTTTAGATTGGTCGGTTCATCATCGGTTGATTAGTTTTAGAAACTTGTGGTTTGCGAATCTTTTCCATTCTTTGTCGTCGTGTGACCAGAGTAGGTCTTTAGTGATCTGAGGTCCTCGAGCGGAGTATTTTGTCGGTGGAGGAGCTGGCTCGGAGAGAGATGGAGGCGACGCGGAGCGGACGTGGCCGTTTTGGAACAAAGCACAAACACTATACCGACAGGGCTTTCCTTTTTCCTTTTTCAAACTCAAGATTCTTGGGAGACATAAGTGGCAATTCCAGGGACAAACTATAGGAGTAGTAGTTGTGCTTGGTGTGGAGTTTTTCACCACCACAACAGAAGTACGAACTAAGCCCATGCAGCTGGTCCACTGCAACAATGTGGCGTGTCAGTCAGGGTGAACACGGAACCGAGGGTGCATGCCGAATGCTTTGGTTTGTTTGGACCACTGCTTCAAGAGGCGCTTCCTGCTATTAGGTTGGAGGTCATCGCTATTAGGTTGAAGGCCATTGCTCTTAGGTTAGTATTTTTTAGAACAAAACAGGTCACTTCTGTTGAGTTTGGGACGGTTGGGACTCACCACTCACCACTTCGCTTCACAAGAGCTTAGAAAGTTCACGCGGAAAGTCATGTCGGTGAGAAAGTCCGTGGCACATGTGGTGCAAAGCAGAATGTCCGCTACTAGGAGCAAAGGGCATCGCTACTAGGAGCAAAGGGCATCGCTACTAGGAGCAATGTTTGCTATTAGAAACAAGAAACAATCATAGAATTAGAATTAAGATTAGAATTGAAACTTCAACATCCCAGACCTTTTTGGAATTGTCAAGGGTTTGCTGCGGCTTGCCTTTCTTTACAAGGATCCGGCTTCAGGATTTTAGACTGCCCAATCGAGCAAACTTTGAAAGTGAGATGGAACTCACCAGTGTAATTTGAATCCATTCAAGCGGCTTTCGGGCAATCACATATATCAATCTTACGCATTTGGAACAAGAACGCTACTACGGGCTCCTGGCCGTACTACTAGGAGCAAGGACGCTACTAGTAACAAAGGGCATCGCTACTAGCAACAAGAAGGCGTTTTCTTGGACCGGCCGAACGGCGACCCTTCCCGCGCCGCTGGCACGAGGTGAGGGCCCGGGAGAGCCGCCGCCTGTGGGACGCCTTGGATCAGCTCCGTCCGGAGACGAAGAGTGTCCGGACGCCCACGGCGGTTGCGCTCTTGTGCACAGGTGCGGAGGTGGAGCTTGGGAAGGATACTCAGGCCTATGGAGCCGCATTCTATGTATATAATAAGACTTTAAGAATCAGACTTTAAGGAACCTACTAGCAATGGCCTCCAACCACCCCCAACCTACTTAGATGCAGTCCTTCAAGTTCCAATGGTTTCAAGAACATCCCTTCTTCTGAAGTGGGTGGACGTCAGCACCTTTGGCAAGCAGTTGCGAATTTGTGGTAGCCTTTTGCAGTGGAGGATTCTTGATCCTCTTCTGGAGGGGGGACCACTTCTTTCATTTCATTTCGTCCAACAAATTGGTCTGCAAGAACCGAGTTTGGTGGATTCTTCGCACGTGGTTTGTCGGCTCTCACAGCACGTCGGCTCAAGACGCCGCGGATCCGACGCCATGCCAAGAATACGGACGCTGGCGACCAAAAAGGCTGGGCCGTTGGAGTTGAAGGTCTTTCAGCGAAGCGTTGGCCTCCAACCTCCAACCTCTACTAGGAACAAGTGCCTTACTAGTAGTAACAAAGAAGCTATTAGTAACAAGTGCCACGCTAGTAGTAACAAGTTCATTAAAAGCAATGGCCTCCTAGTAGCGCCCTCTTGCTCCTAGTAGATGACAGAAATGATTGCCAAGGGACGGAGGTGTGACCGAGACGACTGGCGGGCGTCCGGTCTTGACGTTGCAGGCGCCAGAGGGCTGGGAGGATGTGGCGCCCCAACTCGAGGAGTTCGCCAATCAGATGCCACTTGTTTCGACTCAAATGAGACAAAACACAGGGGACATCCGATGCACCAAGTTGGTTAGATCTAGCTCCTAGTAGCTTCTTACTCCTAGTATTAAGGCCAGAAGCCCCTAGTAGCGTCCTTGCTCCTAGTAGCGATGCCCTTTGCTCCTAGTAGCTTCTTGTTCCTAGTAGGAGTTGACATAAGAAAAAAGCAAGAAAAGAATGCTACTTTCTCTTCTTTCATTTGTCCTTACCATCGCACAGATGTTTTCCCAGGTTTTGGCCAATCACTGCATATACACATATCAACATTGGGCTTCTGTGTAGAATTCTCAGATGTTCTGGGATTTGACGACGGGATGGTGCTACCCGCAGACCATTTTGTTGAACTCCGAAGATTCATCTCCATGTCTTTACACGTGTAACATGAATTGTGGTGGGCTTGGTGAAGTTGCACCAAGGCGGGATGCCGTGAACGAGCCACACGAGGGGAAGCGGCGGAACGAGGTCTGGTCCACGTGTGAAGCAACGGAAAAATTGGAAAGTCAGACTTTTGGCCCCTTGTCCCCTCTTCACCTTTTCTATAACCAACCTAATAGCGATGGCCTCCAACCTAATAGCGGTGGCCTCCAAC